TTAGCCTTTAGCCTAGCATGGATCCCGGCTCTCTTCCTCCTCCTTTGTTTACATTCGAGCCTATCAGATCAAAACTGAAATTCTCAGAACTACCTGTTCAATCTTCACATCGTTGTGTCACTTGTGCACATCAAAAAATCAGTTTCTCATTTCTTTGAACAAGTTCTAAATGATTTGGTACATCCATTCAAATGATTATGTACAATTCTCTGCTGTTTCCTACATGATCAACAGCTTATGTCATGTTGATCAGAATGTATTATAATGGGTCTCTGTAGAACAGTCTCACCCCCACAACATTTAGGCATTAGCTCATTGCATAAGTCTTTACATGCAAAATGGTTGAACAAATTGTCATAATATGTCTAGCATATTTCTATATATTTCCATTAGACTTTTGTTTTTTCTAAATCTTTCCTAAATTGGTAAGTTGCTCCCATGTGAATCTTGAGTTTCTCTAATAAAGCAAAGTGTGTGTAGCATTACATAGATCAACCAATGATCAACCACTTTTCTGAAATAGCTCAAAGGTGCATCTTATGAACCATCAACTGGCCAGTATATACGAAGACTGCACTGTGTTTCCTACAGCACTGCATGCACAGTTTTCCCTAAGGAGATTGTCCTATGTACACATTTCTACTTTTGTCTTTTTTTCTTTGTGCTATGCAGTGCTGTCTTTTCCTTTCTGCATCGCAGTGTCATGGTCTGTCAACAAATTATAGTACAAACAGTAAAAGCATAAATGTGAGTCTTGTCCAGTCTCTTGCAATCAATCTCCCACATACACTAAGGTGAACCTCACAATTTATAATAATTGTCATCAAAACCTTAGCCATAGTTTACATCAGAACATCCCTCCAGAGTACACTGTTATACTGACAACATAACTAAAAATGTGACTCTTATCCGTATACACTGACACAAGGACTTGTCATTCTGATGCCACTGACATGTTCATTGACACAGATTTTTATTTTAAAGAGATGAACTAAGGATTTTGAGGAAGTAACTGCCTTTTGCAGGTAATCCATGGTGTTTTGCTATTTGTACAAATTGTGTTGAGAAATGCAGTGATTGTTTTGCAAATGTCAAGAATGATTCGAGAAATGTACCAAAGCGACTGAGAAAAACTATAGATTACAATAAATCAAATAAGACCTTTATTTTGTATTTAAACCTGTTGCAGAGCTTGTAATTTTGAATGCTTTTTATGTTATTTTCTGTGAACAGCCCATAACTCTCTCATCAATATTTTCCTTTGGTGCTAGATTTTTTAAAATCCACTTAAACATTCACCATCATTATGAATAGTGATCAAAAATTTATTTCAGTCTTTCTTTTTTTTTTTAATTGTTTGTCCCAAACAGAGAACATTACTCGTAAACACTGTGGAATTTTTTTTAAAATTTATTTCCATTATCATGAAAATATAACTTTACAACATGTAAAATATATTGCACCAAAAATTGTCTACAAATTCACTATGTACAGTATAAAAACAAGAGCATAAACCCTTTCTTACATTGCAGTGTATATGATATTATTATTGTAGTACATGTAAACCTGAATTAAAAACAATGTCTCTACAATTTCATTTAGCAGACACTTTTATCCAAAGCAACATGGAAGTAGATACAACATAAGCAAGGATCTAGTCAGGAGAAAACTCGATAAATGATGTCTCAATATTCATTTTATAAATTAATCTATATCATCATCTGTAAAACACTTTAGTCTTTTCTGTGTTTTCTTCAGAGGTCATCACTTTCTCATTCTGATGTTAGAACTTGGTTTCTGGTTCTGGAGCCTGTGAGTGAAGAAGGAGCTCATGTTTAGTTAGTAAGAACTGTGCTTATGCAGGGTGAAAAAGTTGGAGAACCCTTTCAGTGATGTGCAGCTTCTATGATAGAGTAGTTCAAGTGAATATTTAAAGTGATAAAAAAAGGTGCTTTTTCAGTTTTTGTCCATTGATGAATGGGCTCTGTACCAGAACTATAAACAAATTAATTAAATCAAACAGCAAGTAAATGACAAAAAAATGTATACTTTACATTTCTGTCTCTGCTTCTCAAACCGACACTGGGGTGGTGAACTGTGACTGTTGTTAGTATCTGCAGAACAACATGAGGAGTTAAGTGTTCTGTGCATATTTACAGCACCAATGCACGTCCTTGTGGTATATGCCTGGTCACCAACTCCTTACCTTTCCATGGTCGGATTTCTTTTGTGTTGACGCTGGATGTTTCTCCAGGATGTGCAGCATGGCATCATGTATTGTCAGGAAAAACATTGATGGCCGAACTTCATCATCAAAGAAGTGACAGTTGTGGAGTTTCTCCAGAATGTAAGCTACAGGTGAGGAGAAACAAAGTTAGTCAGTGTAGGGCATGTATACAGCAGCTGATTATCTGCTAACTGTTTAAGTCATGTTAAAGCAATTAACGTCCCACATTGCTGATTCAAGTCTCTTAAATTTGACAAGTTTGATGTTCTCCTGGGGCTGCAAGGTGGCGCAGTTGGTAGCACTGTCGCCTCGCAGCAAGAAGGTTGCCAGTTCGTGTCCCGGTGGGGGCACCGGAATCTTTCTGCGTGGAGTTTGCATGTTCTCCCCGTGCAGTGTGGGTTCTCTCCGGGTTCTCCGGCTTCCTCCCACAGTCCAGAAACATGCTGAGGTTAATTGGTGATTGTAAATTGTCCGTAGGTGTGAATGTGAGTGTGCTTGGTTGCCTGTCTCTAAATGTAGCCCTGCGATGGACTTGGCGACCTGTCCAGGGTGTCCCCTGCCTTCGCCCTAAGTCGGCTGGGATAGACTCCAGCCCCCCCGCGACCCTAATGAGGATTAAGCGGTGTATAGATAATGGATGGATGGATGTTCTCCTGGGCAGCAAGGTGGCTCGGTGGTTAGCACCGTCACCTCACAGCCAGAAGATCCCCGGTTTGTGTCCTGGTTAGGATGTTCTCATGTTCTCCATGTTCCCCCCGTGCAGCGTGGGTTCTCTCCGGGTTCTCCGGCTTCCTCCCACAGTCCAGAAACATGCTGAGGTTAATTGGTGATTCTAAATTGTCTGTAGGTGTGAATGTGAGTGTGCTTGTCTCTAAGTGTAGTCCTGTGATAGACTGGTTGCCTGTCCAGGTGTCCCCTGCCTTCATCCTAAGTTAGCTGGGATAGACTCCAGCCCCCCCACAACCCTAGAGTCATATCCAGTTGAGCTACTCTCCTTATTTTATTACCTGTTCCCGCTGTAGATCTTAAGGTCTAATTCTCAGTTAACAACAACAAATGATTATACACTAATGAAAGCAGTATTATTTCTGTCATATTCCATTTCTGCCAATAGATCCTCCTAAATCCTACATATTTTATCTTATTTTATTTGACTTTATTTAACCTTCATTATTATTCCCTGATATTCTGTGTTGTCTTTTTGTTTGTTTACCCCTTTGTTGAATATTGCTGCTGTAACAACAGAATTTCCCTCTGGGATAAATAAAGTCAGCCTAAGTCTAAGTCTAAGTCAATCATTCTATACTCTCAAGTGGCTCCTTGAACACAAAGCAAATACATGAAATCACTCCAAATCAAGAAAAATAATTTTTTAACCTTTCTTTTACAAGGAAAAAATGTTTGAGAACCAGTTCTCATCTGCAAATATGACCTAGCCAAAAGGCAAAATACAAACACTATCCCTAACACAAGCTCAACCCTCTACAGCTTACTTACGGTTTTCAGATTTAATATAATGCATATATAGATTTGGACCAAGTGGTCTTTAATATTTGTGCTTTCATGATTGTATGTGCTTTGTGCTTAGGGGCCACCATACTGCTCTTTTGCTCTACATCAGTTTTGATACCTAAAATCATGAAATGTGAAGAAAACACATGTAACTCTGCCCCACAATAAACTGTCTATTCTCCATCTGGTTCTACCATAGCAGTAAAGTAAACAACAACACAAAGTCTGTATTATTTTACAAATGCTCTAACTCTGCACTGTCATACTTACGGTCACAAGCCACAATATAGACCTCGACTTCTACCCGGATCAGCTCTCTCAGCAACTGCAGGAAATCAGAGATGGTTTATCAAAGGATGCTACATTGTGGCTACTGTCGCTGTGAGTTAATAACGTACGGTTTTGAGTCCTTTCAGAGCAGAGATGTCCAAGAACGAGACAGCAGCAAAGTCCAGGATCAGGCTGTGGATCTCCACTCTGGGAGCAGTCAGGTCGGCGGGAAGCTCTGCATTCCAGTCGATCCGGGCAGGAAGGTCCTTGAAGTCAGTCGGCAGGTCCAGCTCCTCCATCTTGCTGTCATCCTCTGATTCCTTGATTGGTTTACATGAGGTATTCAGGAAGCCCTTCTGCAACAGCAAAATGTTGTTTTCTCACTGCACTTCACAGAGGCCTGCAACTTATTCCAGCACAAACTGCAGGTACAGCTGAATTCATACCAAAGTTATAACTACATACACTTTAGACCAGTTAAGCCAAGACTCATTAAAGTCAAAGGAAATATGGTGTGATGATATTCTATGTGACAGCTTTCCTCATATATTCTGTATAATCAACTGTATTTGTGGAAAATGAACTGGAAGACAACAGGATATCAACTATCAAACTGTGCCTTTAAATGAACAGGCATCACCAAATGGCGGATCTCGGTCCGGTTCTGTCCGGACCCGTGACCAATATCTGATAAATTCACAAGAATAGATTTTCATGAAGCATTTTTTCTGACGGTCGCAGCTTTAGACCACAGACAGTATAAAAGATGGACGTAGCTACTGTGACGTCACCCGTTGGTTTCTGCACTGAGAAAATGAAGCCAGGGTTTTGCTACTTCCTGGTTGACATCTTGGATTTTTGGAGCCAGTGACGCAAAAATCGTCAGGGGGGGGCGGAGCCATAGGAGCAGCGATTGGTCAGACGGATTGAGAGGCGGGCCCTCTCTGCCCGCACACATTTATCGCCTTCTGCTCACAGACTGTATAAAAGATGGAAGTAGCAACCGCCCTGAAAAATGAAGCCAACCCGGAAGTGTCAAAAACCTGCAATATCACTACGTCCACTAGTCCTGGCTCCAAAAAGCCCTGGCTCCCATAGACTGGAATTGGAAAAGAAGTGATCACAGATCACAGAATACCGCATTCAGCTCAGGATTTTAAAAAAAAATTAGTTTTCATGGTCCGGTCCAGAGATCAGGTGGCCAATCTGAAAATAAATCAATACTGAATTTTTTAAAAATCGTCAACATTTTGCGGGGCAAGGGGCGTGGATTGTTTGATTGACAGTCGGCAGCGACCATACAGACGAAACGAGCAGAAGGCAGTAAATGTGGGCGGGGCAGAGAGGGCTTGCCTCTCAATCCGTCTGACCAATCGCTGCTCCTATGGCTCCGCCCCCCTCCGACGATTTTTGCGTCACTGGCTCCAAAAATGTCATGTCCCTGCAGCCTCAGCCCCTGCCCTGCGCTCTCTCTCTCTGGCGCTCTCTCTCTCTCTGGCGTCCCAGCACGCAGGCAGGTGTACCTGGTTACCAATCTACTGATTGGTACGTGGGGATTGGTCCGCTCCAGCTGCAACCTCCGGTCTGCTGGTATTTCAGCTTCGGCCAGACAATGCTCCAGCGCCACGCCGTCGAACCATTCACCGGTTCTGCCATCACCGTTATGCTTCATCCACTCCTGCCATGAGGAACCGGATTCTCCACCTGTCATCTGCCCGCTCTCATCCACTCGTCAGTTCCGACGCCGCTCCACCACTGCGGCTCCGTCAGCTCACCAGCACCAACTCCGCTCACCTTTCCCTCCCTGGATTCCCTGGCGTCCGCTCCTGGTCTCCGCCTGCCTCTCCACCGCGGCAACGCCAACCCCTCTGCACCACTTATCCTCCTCCCTGCTTCCCCTCTCTACTCGGTCGGCTCCTGTCAGGTCTGGTTCTCCCAGTGTGGTGTTGCTAGCCTCATAAACTAGCATCCTGATTTATTAGTGGCACGGGCTGAGCTCGAGGCCCTACTTGTACAGAGTACAAGTAGGGCCTCGGGCGAAGCCCGAGGCCACTATTGTTATTCCCGTGCGCATCTTCTTCTTATTTTTCCTTTTCCGTACAACTTTTCGGTCGGCTACTCCTCCCACAGATTTGGGAGCACCCACACAAATTATACATCAAAACGTGCGGCTCGATCGGGACAAGTGTGCTT